ATACAGTATGCGTGCTCCAACAGGATCGCCTGCTGTCTATGGGCACAAATTCCAGTCATAACTATTTGTATGCATAGAAACGATTTGTAAACTTGTTACAAATATTTTTTACACATACAAATATTTTTTACTTGTGCAAGATACAGTATTTATGACAGGAATTTATGTCTGTGCCATAAACGACTGCTCTTCCTGGTCTCACCTCTGGGTGGCGCTTGTGCACAGGAAACATACTTAACATGCTTACGTTGATTTTAAAACGAAGATGACTCACTTCTACTTGTTTCCCGGTACTCAAACTAGAACGAAAAGAACCTAAATCAGGCGGATAAGTCTAAAATCAGGGAAAACATGATTATATTTAAAGCTTAAATTTTATTTTAATACTTTAAAATCAAAATGGATTGGTATGTTTGTGAATTATTGTGTACTAATGGACAAGTTTCAGCCATAGGTGAATCGAAGAGGCGTGGCGGAGCCGCTCATCTGTCTGCTAATAGTACAGCTGTATAGAAGCGTTAGCAGTCTCTGCTCAGTCTCAGCCTGTTCTGTAGACAGTGTTAAACACAGGCATATGTTTATGGTTTTAAAGACGTTTTGTTGGGTCTCCGGGTTATGTATGACCGGATTTTTACGGATAATGAACAGCGTGTCGTTGGAGCTGAGATTTGAACGCTATCGAGCGAGCCAGGCCGCCGAGAGAGAGACAGGGAGAGCTGGTTGGAGTTACCCGGAGCATCAATGTTGAACACAAAGCTCCTTATCGACCTCATTCACGAAGACACACAAGATGCGAAAAGACGTGAGGATATTATTGGTGGGGGAACGTAAGTGAAGCTGTTTTATTTCTTCATTTATTTTAGGTCAAGTGTGTGCAGAGTCAGCCTTCAGAGCAGCAGTGATGAAGTCTGCGTTCATCTTCATGTCCGTTTCCTGTAGAGGTGATGAGGAGGAGGTTTTCTTCCTCACTACTCCAACTCAAGTTGAAATGTTTGCTTCTGACCTGGACACAGTGTGAGGACACAGATTGTTGAATGATGGTCACATCCACGTTCACACTGAAATGTTGTTTAGAAACATTCATTCTAACAGGAAGTGGTCCAGTGTGGTGCACATGCAGATCAGCTGAGGATGTGTAAATGCGCAAGGGTTGAGAATGGGCACCATTAGGTGGTGGCAGCAGGGAAGCCATGGTGTTATCAGGTAGTTGCTGGAGTGTCAACTACAGTAGTCCTCGATTGTCACGGGAGCTACGTTCCAAACACCCCTGTGATAGGTGAAAAACTGCAAAGAAGAAACGCTATATTTATTTTAATATTTTTATATATTTTATTTTATAAACCCTTCCCCCACTCTTGCAATGTTCTAAACTCTAAAACCTATGTGATTTTAACAACATATTTATTGTACAGTAGCTACTGCAATATTTTATATGGGCTCTCATCAGCCTTGGTCTGGTTCTGGTCCGGTTCTGATTGGCTCTCTGCAACCGTTGAGCGCCAGACGCACTTTTGGAGAGAGCCAGATCTGTGGAGAGCCAGCACAAAACCACACAATGGTCCCAATCAAGTCTAAACAATCCAGAGAGATCCGGATGAAAAAAGTTTGAGTGAGCTCCAGAGAAGACACCTGACCTCCAAGCAACACCTCCCCACTCGAAAGGCTTCTGGCAAGCAGCAGATTGACCGATGAGGGTGGACATGCCAATAGTCCTGGTCCAATTCCTGGCCGGTTCCGTACGGCTCTCTGCATCCACTGAGCACCAAAGTCACTATGAGTAAGAACTAAACTTAGTCAGGTTCAGATCAGATCAAAACTTTCCCTCCATTTTGGTAGAAGGTAGTGGCCGGAAGCACTGTTGGCTTCTGGGTAATGTTGTTTTTGACTGGCATTACAGTATAGGCTTATTGAAAGAAAACTGCAAAATGATGGTGCCTATCCGAAGCATTTTTTTTAATTAACTTTTTATCCCATAATGTCCCAATCGTGAGTTTTATTAAAGTTGACAATTTGCGAAAACGCGAAAGAGAAAGTACGCAAAAGTCAAACAGCGATGTAGCGAGGGACTACTGTACTACAGGCCACTCCAGAAAATGAGTCCTCGTGACTCAATGAGATAAACCTGAATAAATAACGGTTGAATGAAAAAGTGTCCCAACGGCTATATCTCTATATCTCAATTTCTCCTTGGATGTTATGGAAACGTTGGTTACGTACTGTAACCCCAGATTCTATGAGTATAAGCGTAGCCCTTTAAGGCCTTCGCTTTAGTGGGTTTATCCCGTTATGCAGAGCATAAGCACTGAAAAAATTAGTCCACGCCCACCTGCTGTGTGGGCCCCACCCGGTCCGTATAAATTACGTTAAGAGCGGGAAATCGGCTCCCAAAATAGCTTTTTTCTTCAGCCATTTAGGAGCCAGTGAGGCCCGACGCTTAAAGGGCTACGCTTATACTCATAGAATCTGGGGTTACAGTACGTAACCAACGTTCTATGTCGTATAAGCTTCGCCCTTTAAGGCCTTCGCTTTAGTGGGTAAAGGGCGAAGCCGATGTGGTCCTCGCCTCACTGGGTCCATTCGAACACAGTAAGAAGCGGAAGCTTGCCCAAAAAACGTCTTGTCACTCAGCTCCCCGTGTGCATAACTACGCATCGCGTAATTATGTGCCATGCACAGACGCATGTTGTGTAGCTATGCGTTCTGACAAAGCATGAATACCCCGGACAACTTTCAACGGGAAGAAGAAGTTGAAAAGAGGGGGGGGGGGGGC